GAACTTCATTATCATGCTCCTCTGCACACTTTTCAAATATATTACATTTGATTTTTATGTATACGACTTATAATTTGATTTCGTAATTTAAATCATTGTATATAATAAATGATGAGATTCAATCAAACTTCTAAACTTTCAAATTTATTGAATTTCAACCTATTTCATTTAAAAAAATTTAGCAAGACGAACATTGTTTCATACAATTCATCATGCTTCATTGCACACAATTCAAGTATACAATTGATTTTGAATAAGTTAGACCCATCATTCATAATGAAAGACAAGATATACTTCAAACTTCTAATATTTTAGTATAAGCTTGATTTCAATCTATTTCGTTTAAAACATATGGATGGGAACTTTATCATTGTACTCCAATACACATTAATCAAGTATATCATATGGATTTTTAAGCATACAACTTAAAAATTGACTTACAATTAATTTTGAATAAGTTAGACCATCATTTATAATGAAAGACATTCAAACTTCTAACAGCTTAGTATAAGCTTGATTTCAATCTATTTCGTTTAAAAACACGTGGAAGGGAAACTTTATCATTGTGCTCCAATACACATTGATCAAGTATATCATATGGATTTTTAAGTGCACATCTTACAATTGGTTTCGATCAGTTCATGTATAATGAAAGACGAGAGGCTAATCAGACATGTAACCTTTTAGACCGTAGTTGATTTCAATCTATTTCATTTAAAAAAAAATATTGGAAGATGAAGTTCATTATATATACTTCATCGTGCTCCACTGCACGTTCAAATATACCATATTCGATTTTTCAGCACATGACTTACAATTATTTTTGAATAAGTTAAGCTATTAGGTATAATAAAAGGCAAGATATCATTCAACTCGAAAGTGATAAATGAAAAATGACTAAAATCATTTTTCTTTTAGAAAAAAAGTTTCTAATCATGATCTAAATGAATTTTTTGTTTGCCGTGGATTGGCTGCGACTATGCAAATCACAACCAATGGTTTTTTATGAAATAAAAAAGAATAGGGACAACGGTCGTTTAAAATGACTAGAGTCATTTTTTGTACCACTTTTTCTTGATAATGTTACAGAAAAGATATTAGTCATTTTATGTAAAGGGATTTTGAGACATATCAACAATATAGAAAAGGATACTTTAGACATTTCAACAAAAAAAGGCCTTAAAAACTTATCTGGAGTAAATTAGGCCTCAAAAAGTTTTGAAGAGTTTGATTAAGCCGATTTTAAAAATTCCCCTTCATATTGCATGTTACAACTTTTATAAGATCCTAAAGACAAATAAATACAACTTTTTAATGAAGTTTATGAAATAACCATGCTTTTATAATCTCTCTAGCCAGGGGAATTGTTTGAATGCAGCATCGTGAGAGCTTACCAGACATTCAAGCCGCACGCAACAGAGCATTGTATCTGTCATGAATGCCTTTCGATTCAGTTAAGTGAGACTTTTAGAGCGTCTAGAGGTCAAGAACCTTTGTCTGGTACAAGAGAACCGGGAAGGATATGTCTCATGTATTAGCAAAGAGCTAAGAATGCAGCATGCAACAGTGGAAAGCATCTAAGTAGCAACCAAACTCATAATATATCTCCTAAATACTAAAAATTTCTAGTCCGAGACCTGCTCGATAGACATTTGTGTTAACAAAACTTGGAAATGCAAACAATTTAAACCTTCAACAACTAGCCGTTACTTATTCACTTGGTCTGCATGCATCTTCGGACACTGATGGCGAGTCTGAAACAGAATCAAGGGTCTCGTGTGATGGTGACACCTCGACTCCTCGTAACTCTTCTATCATTCTCAAAACATAGCTCATCTTTGGCCTTTGATCCGGTGAAGCCTGAGTACAGGCCATCGCTATCTGAAGTAAACCCACCATCTCTTCTTCAATACCTTTGTACCTCATAAGCTCCAAATCGAACACCTCAGCAGTCCACTCCTCTCTCACTACAGACTGCACCCACCTCGGCAAATCAATGACCCCATTGTACCCTGGGCCAGCTCCACCATTGTCCACAACAGAGGGGCATTTTCCTGTTAGCAGCTCTAGCAATAGGACCCCAAATGAATACACATCAGATTTTTGGGTTAATTTCCGACCTTCCAGTACTGTTTCAGGGGCATTGTACCCATTTGATTTTGGGAAGTTGGAAGGTGATGCAAAAACTGAGAGGCCAAAATCTGATACCCGAGCATTGCCAGATTTGTCAACGAGGATGTTAGTGGATTTGATATTGCCATGTGTTAGCCTAAGGGACTTGAATGGGTTGTGAATGAAGGCTAATCCTCGAGCTGCTCCAGCTGCAACCTTCAACCTTGTGGTCCAGTCCAGCGGAGTTCTTCCAGGTCCTCTGTTTCCTGAAAAGATTTAGGGGGAAAAAGGCCCATTATGTTTTCTACGAATCAGAAATAGCCGTTCCAAACAACACGAGTTATGCATTAATCATGGATTGTCAATTGTGTTGCATGAGAAGCTGATCGAATCATAGATAAATAATTAAAAAATGGGAGGGAAATAAAATTGTGACCACGGGTACTGTAAGAGTCTGAGGATAGAGCAAAGCTAAAAGTCACAAAAGGAGAAAGAAAAAACAAGATTTGGAGACACTGCATAATTGTGCAAGTGGAGATGGAGGGTGAAGGGACAATCAAACAATTTGTGCCTGGGGGACCCGGTGCCATATAATTCCAAAAGCAAACAATAGCAAATTTCACCATCGACTTTCCAGTTTAAGGCAAACTTAGCACCAAATGGGAGACAAAAAATTGACTATCAAGTATTTTTACAGCACATACCTAATAAAGTGGAACGTCAAGCTCCCATCATATGCAATAAATAAACAAACAAAGAATTTATAAACATCATCAACAAAGCTTTTTGAGCTCGCAATCAATCAATTATCAGAATTCAACTATTTATCTTTTCATCTTCTTAAAATTAGAACAGAAAGAGAAATAGATAGTAGGGACAAATGAAGACATCTTTATCAGAGAAAACTACATATTCCGCATTATTCGCATATCAAACTGAGTCGAATAGAAGGGCTATTTCAAGGGAATTTTAACCAAAAATTTTCAAGCAGGAGTGATCACATTCTCTGGTAACGACTAACAACTCAAGAAGGCAAAGAAGTAAATGAAATAAAGATAATCTCCTAATGAAATTCTTGCTTCTGACAATGAAATCATGAAAACAGCTACCAGCACACAATATCTGAATCGATGAAATTTTCTTATCAGTTCCCAAAG